AATTTGAATTTGAAAACTTTATGCACTGACTCCACACTCTAAATCAAACAGTGGTATAAACAAGCCCAGCACTTGAAGCTATCTAGAAAGAAACAAATTATCAGTCACAGTCCTGGTAGAACACATAATTCATGCTACAGCGTCCCAAACGAGCATCCAGAGGAAAACCTGTCAGAATGAAACACTCCAACATTCCTACTACTTTCAATCCTGCCAAAGCTGAGTTTCACCAACACCCCCTCACCAAGCAGTCATCTTTTCTCTGAGCTCCTTTCTATGCTGCTCATGTCCATTCTCATTTCCAGCTAAAGAAAATCCATACAAAGCAGAATGCATGCAGCTGCAGTTCCTGCCTGCACACTCCCGGGGATATTGTAATACAATATTCAACCTGAACCTTTTTGCATTGCAAATGAAACCAAATTACAAGAGGCATCAGCACAACAAGGATGACTGTGCGTTTTAAACAACTCGTAAAGAGACAAAATGAGCTCCATTCAAAATGCATGTGGTCACAAGACCTCAGAAACTTGCTAGATTTAAAACTTACCCACTATTGATGCTCTACAAGTCGCACATAAACCCTGTTCTGCCCGTGCAAAAATCCACAGTAGCAGCAATAGGAGTAGCAGAGACCTGCTGTCACTTAAATCTTCCACCGGCACACTCCAGGCGTGGCATGAGGGCAATGAAAGGTGAGTAAATACTGCGAGGAAACAGCAGACTTCTAGTGAGTGATGCCACCTCATCCATGTAAAGCGGTGTGAGAGTGTGTGAGAGAGAGAGCTCTGCTTCAGACACTGTGAAGGGGGCGGGACCCTTCCACAGAACCAGTGTTTTGCAAAGCTCCCCTCAGTTTTAATGCGTTTTATAAAAATAGAGATTAGCCCAATATAACTTTGTTTTTTTTATTAAAATGTTTCCAACTTTACTTTCTGAGGCTCACATTCAAAGTTATATCATTGTTGCTCCATTTTCCATCCTGTGTGCAGGATAATGTCTCTGCTGTGAGCTCACTGGTACAAGAGAGGATGTCTGCTGCAGTTGCACTTTAGGGGAACCTGGACATGAATGAGGCTCCCTGCAAAGTCTACATA